GAGTGGCTGCTGCTGCTGGTGGCCGACCGTCCAAGGAAGAGAGAAGAAAGAGAGAAAGGAGAAGAGGATCGTGCGCGCCTCATGGCCCTGTTGTTTATTGGCCCGTCGTGATCACGAAGAGAAGAGATCCGAGTGACTGTGCTCTTGTGTTTTGGTGAAAAATAACGAAGTGGTGATCGGTGCTCGATTGTTCTTCTCTACGGTTCAGTGCTACGTGGGGTTTTCTTTTTTGGGGGAGAGGCACGCTCGCTGGAGGATCGGAATAGAGGAAAAGAGAACGGCACAGTTCGTGGGGGAGAGAGAAAGCGAGATAGAGAGAAAGAGAGGGAGAGAGTGTGAGAGTGAGAGGGAAGAATAGCAAGATAGAAATAGAGATAGAGGTAGAAGAAGAGAGAGAGAGGGAGAGAAAGAGAGAGAGAAAGACAGAGTGAGAAGAAGAAGTAAACTTATAGAGGAGAAGGAGAAAGGGTGATTGGAAGACCCGGCTGGCGATCCGAATTCGCGGATTCGACACGCCGCGGTTGCCGATCCATAATATGGCGTACAAGTTTCGCGAAGAGATCGTGGGAAAGAGGTTTCTCTCGGTGAGTGGTTTCACCAAGCTAAAGGTGAATAAGATTAGTGAGTGGGGGTGGCGTGCGGGGGTAATTCGTGCTGCCAGTCACAGGGATAACAGCTGTCATGATCTTCAGGTGAGTATCATCGAACAAAACATGTTCTTCCTTTAATTAATTCTATAATCAGTTTAGAAACACGTTCAGTCTACGCAGAATAACTTTGGTTCGATGCATGCGGCCTATCTGGCATCGTGCGCGCGACACGCTGTTTCTGTTTACATTAGCGACCGACCTTTCGAACATTCGAACTTAGCATTCTACAGTCTTGTTCACCTCAATTCGAGATATCTGCGCTCCTTTTTAATATCGAAAGGATCTTATTTAACGCGTCTTTTTTGCGATCGATACTCGTCAAGTTTTTATTTAATATTTAAACATTCCTTTCTTACGACATGTAATGACAGTGAAAGTTCTATCGAAAGGTAGCAACTGAATATTTGAAAAAAGTATTTGAAAAAAATTTTTATTTGATAAATTATTTTAAATTTTATGACGAAAATGGTAATATAAACATATATTCTTTCGTAACATTTATTTTATTTTTTAATTATATATTTATTTAGAGTCATACAAAGAGTCATCAAGAGGCATTATTATTGTCTTATTTATATCTCGAATTGCGAATTAAATTCAAGGGAAATTTTATAGTTTCATCTCTTGTCATTTCAATATTAATTATTAATATTTAATATTATAATTATACATTATATTAAGAGATACATATTTAATCGAAATTATTTCTAAGATTCGTGTATGAAATTAAACAAATATAATAAATTAAAAATAATATAATTATTTCATTCGATTTTTGATTCAAAATATGTTTTATAATTGAAAAAGATAGAATTTAGTTAGAAATTATTCAGAATCAAAAATTAATATAAAATATTAATCAAAAAGCAGAAATAATTAATTATAATCTTATTATCTTATCCTTACTTTTTTTTACATATTCAAAATTAATAACATAAATGTTTTTTGCGTTTTGATTGTCTTTAAAATTATTTATAAATTTTTTCTTTTTAGTTTATTTTTATATAAAATTCAGAACGAGGTTAATAAATAATCTAATCTCTCTTCGATTCATATCAGAATATATCAGAATATATCAGAATAATTTTTTTTTCTATTAATAATTTATTAATACTATAGCTATCAGTATTTTCGTCAATCGTATATCGAAAATTTTCGATTGTAACTCTCTTAAACTTTGCCAAATTCATTTATAAATCATTTTTCCCTGTTTTATTATGAAATAACACGTAAAAAGTAACTTTCTTGTAATTTAGATTTCGATATATGAGCTTCAGCTATGAAATCTATTTAGATACTCTTCTTATAAAGAAGAGTAAATTGGAAAAATCCAACGAAGTTTGAAGTTATGGCAATGTCTAAGAGGTTTCAGACAATGAAAACATCTGGTCATTGGCAAATATAGGATACGAGGAAATATTATTTTAGAAGACATTCGTGCAGATGATAAAAATTTATTTTTTAAACGCAATTAAAAATTATTATACATAAATCTTTATTTTACGAATTTTAATAAATTTTTTTTTATTTTGTAATTTATGTTTTGTAAATTAAATTTTCTAAATTAAATAAGCCTGTTTTTTCGTACATAATAAGTAAAATTCATAATTAAAAAAATTGTTTTGCAACATAAATTTATTTTTTACGTTATATGAATTTTGCATAATGCAATATTTTTGTTTGCATGTTTTTTTTTTTTTTTTTGAAACTTCAAATGCCAATTTATTTTCATCAAAACTAAAATAAATTATTTAAAACAGATAAATTAATTAAAGTTTATACAAAATTCTTGTATGAACTTAAAAATAAATTTATGCGAATTTAAATATACAACATTTTAAAAATTTAATCGAAAATATTTATCATTCTTTTTACGCATTTATCGATTCGAATATTGTATTATCTTTTCGTTTTTCAAGATAAGAAAATAATATTGAATCCTTCAATAAACCATATTTAAATAGACAGTCATTAGCAACATTGGTCATGTCTCATTTAGATTAATATCAACATAATCGCTTTTAAAAGTGGTATTTACCAAAAGCAGGAAATCCTTGCGTCATTTTTCGCGAGAAACTATGTTCCGATTGTTATTATCATACATTCAAGATTCATTAAGAAACTGTTGATCGAAGTCGATAGGCGATAAGGACAACTTCGTGAAATCGATGCCAAAACAAAATTATGAGGCAAAATGGAAAGAAGCTAGGATAAAACACTGTTTTCTATCAGATTACATAAGCTATCGTACCTGAGAGCTTTTTTTTTTTTCTGTTATCGCGAAGTCATAACTATTTCAGATTTCGAGGACGTTGTCGGTACACATGCATACGTCGCAAAACAAGAGGTACGCAATTGGTTTTTGTCAATTAAGCCTGACCAAAGGCCATGATTCTCTCATTTCAAACTTGAACAATGTATGCACATAATTTTTTTTTTTTTTAATCGGTCTCGTTGTTTAAAAAAAATAAATTTTTTTGTACGTTTGCAAAGAATAAATACGTTTCTATATTTTATCGTATATACATGATATTTTGATTATTATTAAACTACGTCTTCATCAATGAAACAACAATGAGAAATATTTCTATTAATATTCCATGTTTTTTTTTTAAAAAATCGTTACTTGCTGTCATTATTTAGGATTCTTCGTGTTTATCCTATTTTGATTCAGAAATTAGAGAAATGAATGTTGTTTCAATTTACTTTGTCGATTTCCAACAAATATCGATATCAATAATAATTATATATATTATGTACACATGTAAAATATTCGAATAATGGAACAATGATTGATTTATTAAATTAATTGAATAGAAGATAGAATAGAATAGATCTTTTCGTATAAAAATTAAATGAAATGTAAAAAAGAAGGAAATATGTGAAGCAGTATTGTGTATAATGTATAATAAAAGTGAAATGAAAAGTGAAAAATTTTGTCTTGCAAGGAACAAGTCTTCAGCTAACGTTCGCAGTTTGGAACAAAGTGTCTTATGTATGGACAACTTGTTGCTAGCAACAACTATAGCCTTGAAACCGAAATAAAACCCAAATGTTTCTCGAATTACTTATAGATATTACTTTAGTTGTGTGAACAAAATGTTTCTGTACATTGTTTTTAGAAGATGTTTGTTGAAAATGTTTTGAAACATGCAGCACGAATTTTTTTATATCATTTAGTAATTAAAGAAAAAAAAATCTTTTAGTTTAAAAATTATAATCAACAATTTTAAAAATTGCGTTTCAGTTTATATAAATTAAAAAATATCTTTAATTTAATCTCTTAACGATTATATCAATATTGATTATATGTAAAATTTATTTAAATATTATGTATAATATTATTATGAATATGTGAAATGAAATAATTTTGTTCTTAAGAGATTCTTCTCTTATGGATTGCATTCATGAAAGGAAAGAGAATTTATTTGTGATTGGAAAAACTTTTTTAAACTATCTTTCTTTATTCAATTATTAGTTTATCTAAGTAGTAGAGATTGTACGAATGAGATATATCTTTTGACTCTTTATCACGAATAGCGTTTGTTGTTTAAAGTGAAACGCTTAAGTTGGATTATAGTTTTGATAATAATTTTTGGTTATGCAATGTTAGTCATTAATGTGTAAAGTTATTTTTTGTAATAATGATTTTGATTTAAATAAAAATTCAAAAATATTTCGAAATTCAAAATTGAAATTCAAATTTTATTACGTCCGTCTTTAGAATAGTTATTTTTAACTTGAAATTTAATATTTATTAGAAACGATTAGTTTTTTAGATTGGCGAAACTCGAATTCTAAGAACTCAAAAATGAAATGTATGCTTATTTTTTTCTTTGTTTTATTTCGTAAGAAACTAAGGTAAAAGGTTTTAATAAATTATTAGCCAATGGTGATTGTAATCATTTTTGTGATAAAAAATTAAAATTTTTATTTTTTCTTTATATGATATTTATATTGATGAAATTTAACCAATTAAAGTAATTAAAGAGCTTAAAGTCTGAATATAAATGATCGATAAAATTGTTTCAATCGCGGAAAAGCAACATTAATTATTTTTGCCATTCATTTCGAATCATTGGATCAATTAGTTGAATGAAAATAAATTCATATCATTACGATATTTTTTCAATATTTTTTCATAAATTATTTAAATATATATATTTTTTATTTTTAGGATTCTACAAAAATAGCACCAAGTTTCGAAAAGTATCATTCTTAATATTTATTAGTTTGATAACATACACATAGTTAAATGTACGAAGTTCTTAATTCAAGCTGTTACTTGATACGACTCAGCTGAAAATTTTCGCGAATCATTTCTTTTCTACAAAATTTTTTTAAACGAGCATTGCAAAAATCGAAACGAAAATATAAATATTTCATTTATCGAAGTACATGCCTAAGTTCGAAATGAAATTTTAATTCTAATATTTAATATTTATAATATTATTAATGCAAATATTAATATTTCATTTCAATCATCGTATGATGAAATTGTTTTATTCGCGAAAAAGCAACATTAATTTTCTCCGCCATTCAATTTGAATTTAAATATAATTTAGTAGTCAAATATACATAGTATAATGCATGAAATAAAACGTTTTAGATACGATTCTCTATATTTAAATATATTATATACGTAATTATTTCGCATCGACGTACGTGTAAGGATTGCAGAAATAATGCAACAAATAATAGTATCAAAGTACTTCAATGAATGATAAACTAAAATAATTTTTTAATTTTTCTTGAACATTTTTTTTTATTATTTATTTATTCTAACAATGGATAAGTTTAAAAAGTTGCAGATATTCTCTCAATTTTAGCAAAAAATAAAAATTTGCTAACAAATTTTAAGATTTATTTCTAATAAAACTTTAATATTTTCTATTGATAAATAAATCAGCATTTTAATTACACGTATATATTTTTTAATCGTTGATGCTTATATCAGTATTTTATATCAAATTAATATAAAATTAAATTATATAGTTATCTAATTCCTTTCATTAATTTTATAAAATTTGAAAGAAAGAAAT